CACACACACACACACACACACACACACACACACACACACACACACACACACACACACACACACACACACACACACACACACACACACACACACACACACACACAACGTATGCATAATGCATACAGTACCGTGCATACACGCTCATATATTACTCATTACGGCAACGACTTATTTATTGCACGGAAATAGATCCGAGGAATTAGCGTGCAATAAAGACGTGACCATGGAGAATACATATGATAATAATTAGATGAAATGTCTGGAAGCACGTTATGTAAGCTAATTGCTACTTGTAGCTTATTGTAGCTGCGTTATGTGCAAGATGCGATATGTAATACATTCAATAAATTTGATGAACAAATAGAAAAATTGAACCCCTTAATTAGACTTTAAGTGATAATACACTTGACACAAGCAGGAACTGACAGAACAGGGCTGAGTCGAAGTATATTTCCAGAAAATATTAATTGAGACGTCTAAAAGACGTTTCCAAAATAATTCGGGATGTTTCATCACGTTGTCAGAAAGATGATTTTATGACATCTTTAAAATGTCTTCAACGTCTTATTTCATATCCTCTTTAGAAAATAAATTAATTATATGGAACACGAGTTAATTAACGTTTATTAACATTATTTAATCATATCACAATAATGTTTATTAATATTAAGAAGAGCTAGTTGCTCGGTACACAGATGATACAATGTTTATATAATTTTGTTACTTACAATTAGCGATACCGGTTTTTATCATAAGCCAAGCTATATATATATGTATATATAAGTATTAAATCATTGATACACTGATTTATGTTGTAGATGTTCCGAAACATATTTTCTTTCGAAAGCAATAATATAGCGTTTCGTTCCAGACATCTTTTCTAAAAGACATATCTTTACGACATTTTTCAGACATGCGTCGTGCTGTCTGGGCGTGTACTTATATCAAATTTCAGAAACAATTGTAGAAACAACTCGTAGACACGACGAAATCGATAGTCTTTAGTGGACCTTTGCCTTCGATTTTAAGACTCCACTTTTCCAGAGACCTCTGCAATTTAAGAAAATTAATTAGCGCATTTAACAACAAGGACGAGCACGCGGCGAGAAATAAATCTCGAGCGAGGAAGAAACGAAGAGTTTACTTAATTTCGAACTGCAGCCTTTGAAATTGCATTTATGTAAATTTATCTTTCGCTCTTTCTCTGTCGAGGGCGATTAAGACAAGAATTGGAATACGCGTCTCTCGACACCTTCGAAAAATCTGGTTTGCGTGGTTCCCGTGAAAGGTATCAGGGGAACATAACCTGAAAGGAGGTTATCGCGCGCCAAATCCATTTCGAATCTCGCGCCATTTAAAGTGCGCCGTTTGAACGCGTCAGGTTGCCCAACGTAGAATATCTTAATTCCCTAGCGTTTTAGTTGGTTTTGCACGTTTTGCGCGACCTCCTTCGGACCGATCTGCCCCCATTCGTAATTGCTAATTGCAACAAGGTTGCCGAAAGATCTCGCAGATGGCGCTCGCGGCCGACGCTATTTCTGTTTATATTTACATCGTTTACATCGATTTTGACACCTGCCGTTTATCTCGCTGGCAAATTGCAATTGCAAATGAAGTTGCACGGATTGCACGCGGGCGATTGTGAGCAATTATGCGGTGGAGATTTCACCCGCGTACGCGCGATTCGTAAATATGTGAGCAAATGATGGAAATGAGATTTTTCCTTGGAAGATCTTTTTCCAAGATTTTCCCCGCTGTGCAAGCAAGTCTGTAAATAATGGCATTCTCGTTTCGAGCCGGCACCAATTGGTGCCACGATTTCCCGAAGCTCGCCCGGGAATCAGGATTTTACTTCAACATGCATGGGTCTAGGGTACGAGTTGACTGGAATCGCATAGGTACGTTGGATGTTGCTGCGCAAAATGTTGAGTTGATTATTGCAAATTACTGACAATTTGTAATTTTTTTTCCTATTGTGCAGGTGCTATAGACATAGACAGAGTTATACGGGAGAGAGATTTCTCAACCATCGATCAGAATATCAATAATGTAATAGATTATGGCTTGGAGAGCGAGTACGACGTCAAGATCCTGGACCCCAACTTCGTTAAGTTGTTTAGACTTGCGCAGCTGTCAGTCGAGTATTTATTGTATTGCAAACAGTACCTAGATCACAGTGTAATAATACTGAAAGACGAGCTGCGGCAGAAGATAGAGCAGAACGTCAGTATGAAGAAAGAAATTGCCGCTCTAGAAGACACAGTAAAGAATATAAAGGAGAGATCAAGGGAGAAACGTAAATTGATTGAAACTAGCGTCGGTGAAATTTCTAATGGGGAAGTTTACAAGGTAGATTATTTTGACAGACTTATCTGTCGAAAATAACATGCATTCTATTAATAAATTGACTTCTGTTGGTTACAAATTATGATAAATTGGAAATTATAAATTGCAAAGTTGTAAATTATAAATTGAAATTATGAGATGATCATGGTACCTCTTGAGATTTAATTGCATGATTTCTTGCAGTGTCCACATTGCCCAAAAACATTTGTACGCGCTATATTTGTAAATGCTCACATAGCGCGCAAACATTCATACATATCAGACGTGGGTGTATCCACCTCTCCTGTGCACGATCATTATCGAGCAGAAACGGAAAAATTGCACAATGAGATAAAAACGTTGAAGGAAAGATTAAATCAAACAGAAAGAGTGATAAGAAACGAGTCTGACAAACTGCTGGATAACACAGGAAAGGATTATACAAGAAACATAAGTAAAAACGAATACGACATTGACAAGATGGATAGATTTCAAGAGCAAAGAAGATACCAAGAAGATATTGGAAGTTTGAAGAGCATGCTGTTTGACGAGATACGCGTAAGCTAATAATTAAATAATCTTATTTGCTTTGTGGTACATCTCTCATAATTATTTGGAACCTTTTTGCAGGCATTAAGGGAAAAGGATCACGTTGTAAATGAGAGTATTCTGGAGACAAATGTGAAAACTCTAATCAGTCAACAAGAAAAAGAGATTGAGAATTTGAGAAATCAACTTCTTGAAAGAGTAAGAAATCCAAGTCTTTATTATACGTTATTTTTGCCATTGCTATACTATATTAGATTATATTATCTTCTCAGTTGACTCCAGGCATGGAAAATATGCAGGTAAAGTTACAAACGCAAGAGAATCATTGGAGAGCCAAAATAGAGGACATGGAAACCCAACATCGTCGTGATATCGAGAAATTGACCACAGAATTGAAAGCGACTCAGCAAGTAGCTGATCGTATAAAGTCTGAGTATGCATCTAAGGTGCACGACTTAGAGAAACAGTCTGTGGATCAATCGAATATGCTAGTGGAGCAAAGAAAGCAATTAAACAGCTTGTCACGTGAGATCAGTAATTCGCAAATACAAATCAATAATCACAAAACTAAGGAAAAGAACGCGGCAGAATTCCATAAATCTCCTTTGTTAACGGTAAAACACGATAGCAATTACAATGAAAGCAAAACTTATAAGAGTTTAAATAATACTGAAGACGCCGAGATGGTCATTCAAGATATTGGTAGTGATTCTAGTCAAGAATACAGTGACAAATTGATGTCAGTCGTGGCACAAACCGAATATATGCCTAGTAAAGATAATATTGTAAAAAGTAAGAGTAATAAGAAAGTCATTACTGACAGCAGGACTGTAGAACGTATGACTGCAAAGCCTAATCTGAAAAAATCGGACAGATCAGAAGTCGTAAAAAAAACGAAAAGTAATGCGAGGCATTATGATGCGTTGAATAATATAAATGAAATAAATGATTTAACGAATAAAAGTTTTATTACCAAAGAGAATGCTATTGATGTAAATAAAAAGTACATAGGTGTTAGAGAGAAGAAAGAAACGTTACATACCAACAATATAAAAACTAGTAAAAGATCTGAATTCTTAGAAAGGCATAGCGTAAGTTCTGTGACGGAATCTGGATCTTTGTCGTCGATGTCAGAGACGGGAACCGATAGTGAGAGTGTTACAACAGACGATGATTTAGTAAAAAAGCATGAAATGCCTACATTTAAATCTCTCAATGCCAAGAAAATATCGATACAGGAAGATGCGCAAAGTATATTCGATAATCGGCTGAGAGAATTAGGTATCGATCCAGAATGGCAAGGAATACCTGCGGGAACGTATAAGCAAAAAATGGAGATTATAAGGCATCAACAAAATATTAATGCAAAGAAAATCGTCCGATACAATCAAATCAGACAAAAAATACTCGAAGATGTTCTTCAAACGATATCGACAAATCGTAAGGAATCAAAATATCCCACGCTTACGAAAAATTCTTCATTGGATAAGCTAGTCACACACGTTAAATCGAAGGCTTGGAAAGCATTCAGCAAAGACAGTGGTAATCATACATTTTCTATATTAAATCTCTAGTATATATCATATACAGTTAATATACAATATTGTTTTTCAGGCGAATATACATCTGTCCAGAAAACGGAAAACACGACACCGTTGAAATTACGTCTAAAGCAAAAAATTGAACTCCTTCCTAAAAAATATAAAGACGACGAGGTGTATGAAAATACACGCGAATCGCCATTGAAAAAAAGTGGAGCGGATAGTTACTCCAGTCCAAAAGTGACACCGACATATCCGAAATCGATTCGAAGTATCTCCTCCGCGAGCTCCATTGACTCTCGAGAAGACATAAAACAGATTTCACCTACAAAGATAACTGTATCGGATACTAACGTGCGTAAAGTGGGTTCTCCGATCAGCAGGAAACAGGCGGTAGCGCCGAAATTTTCTGAAAACAATGACTCGGATAGTACGATTATGCAGCAAGACGATTTAGTTTTTTCTCCGAAGAATAAAAGTGTTTTAAAACCAACGAGCGGTTCGGTCGGTAGTTTGATAAAGAAAAAAGTCTTGTTCGATTTAGATGAGACGAAAAATGATGACACGATGATACCGGAAAGTAATCAAAGAAAGAATCAAATAAATAGCAATGACTGGGGTGTCTCAAGGTACTAAAGATTTTATTGTAATTTCCTTATATTATTGTTTATATCTGTAATGTAAAAATATGTAATTAATTCGTATTATTTTTATTAAGCTTCTCTGAGAGGGGAGAATACGCGTTGCAGAAAGAGAAGTCTATGAGCACAGGCAACATTGTTTTAAAAACTTCGCAAAGCGATAAGATCGCGGAAATATCAAAGAAGATACAGGAACAGGTAAGATCATATACCAGTATTTATATACCAGTGTGCAATTAGCATGTCGTTGAAACAACATTGTCATAAATTATTTTTCAGTTGAGTATAGCAAGGAAGAAGGAGCCACCTGTAGGATCAGTCGAAACGATCTTCCGATTCAATACGAGTTCGCAAGATCTTACAAATTATAATGCGAGGAATCAGCTGTTAAACTCGTCCAGTCTCGTGAACTCGATCTTGGACAATTCTATGCAGAATCTTACAAGTCCAAAGATGAAAGGCAACGTATTTCCGCAGCCTGCTCCGCGAACTCTGAAGGATAAAGATCTTGCTACTGCTCAACGTAAAAGTGAAATTAAGTATTCTGATTTAGATTCAGATATAGATGAAATATAACAGATGGAATAAGCAGTATTATATCAGGCACTGTATGTACAATGTAACTTTAAATTATTACTTCAATTTATGCATCTTCCGCTCTATATTGCTATCGTAAATCGAATAGGTTTAATACATTATTTATTATAGTTTTTGCATAACTAGCGATGTATATACATACATGTTTAGGAACGGATAAGTTTATTTAATATATATTGATGCACAAACTGGATTTTCAGTATGATACGCACGCGTGTATACCAGAAGGAGTCTTGTACATATCTGTGTAACTTGAAATATACACGTTATACAAATTGTTTCTGAAATATTTCGCCAAATTTTACTTTTATGAGTGCTGATAAAAAATTGCTATGCATACATATTCAGATTGTATGCTAGTTTATATTTGCTTTGTTAATGTTAATCACGATCATTATTTTGAGGACAATCGATTTCCTGCAATTTTAATAGTCTTCTGCGTTGGAGTTTAGATATTGATAAATTTCTGTAAGAAAAAAATTACTTTGAAATAAGCAAACTTAAAACTTTGCACGAATTTCATTATATACTCACTCTCTGATTTCATCAACAATATTTTCAAGCATGATGGGAATTACCGTATGCCTAAAATGCTGTATTTCTGATAAAAAGATTGACTTCCTATAAGGCAAACTCGTATATGACTCATGAATGAAATCAATTAATGAGTCAAAAGCTTTTGTATAATTATCCATAAGCAACTGCAACACAAGGTAACAATTTACAGTATCATATTAGATGTAATTAAGACTGATACATGAACAATGTGTTACCACTAAAATAAAAAAGCCAGGATGACTTTCGTGATAATCCAAATACAATTTCCTGCTTTTTATTACAAGTTCGACATAGGTATTTTTTAATGCCTCTGTTTTTTCTTCATGCGTTAGTCTTTCTTCATGCTACATATGAAAATTATATTTATACAGAACAAGAGAATAACAATAACAGAACGTTGACAAAAATTGTCCTACTGTGATATTAATTTTTTTTTAACCGAGCAGCTTTTATTACGTTATTTTTCCTTATATTCATGCGCAATGAAGATACTCAAAAGTATCGTTTTATGTTCCACATATATGTACATATTATATCGATCAAAATAATACAAGAAATTTATAGAATAAGATTAATAGTTTTTTTTCCCGACAGAGAACGTTTAAAGCATATACATTTTCCGTTGCTTCTTCGGAAGACGTCGATTCGCCGAGATCATCGTCATCGAAATGGTTAGACATGTTCGTCACCAACGTAGTTCGACGCAGCAACATCTTCGACTTGCGCTCTTCGCGTTTCGTCTCTTCATCATCAACAATAATATTCGATTCTTCATCCAATAACACCTACATACCGATACTGAGACATTTAAATGCACGATATTCAAATTCCATTTAAAGTTACGCTTAGTACTTTTAATTCTCCTGTCGTTCTCCTTTTTTCTTCAGACGAAAATCGATCAAACAATTTTCCATTTCTCGCTTCTGTCAACGTAATACGTTTCTTTTCCAGCGACACTACCTCGCTCCTTCGTAGTACGACCTTCGGTAGCATCGTTTTGCTTTGCAATATAATGTCAGTTGTTGTCGACCCGTTTCCTTGCGGTCTCACGGAGATGCAGTAAATTGGAAATTCTAGACGGCACATTATCTGACGATACATGCAAACTTAGCAAAATTTGACGGTACATCCCGCATTGTAGAAGATTAAGTTCGAACCTCATCCAGAATTTCTTCGATAAAACTTAATATACAACTAGCGGTCTCCGTTTCTTCCTCCCGATGCTTGCCTATTTTAACAGCCAACAAATTTTCCACACTGTCTTTAATCCACGTGTAAACGTCAAATTTTTCTCGTATCCAGTCCCTGTGGAGATTGACACTATGCGTGAACATCAAGATCGCCTTCACATTCGGATATCGTTTAGAAATTTCCGTAACTGCGTACAGATTCATTTGAGTGAGCCCAATTTTGCGTTCAGATATTAATGGACTGATCTGATTTACATCTGCAAAAAGAATTATAGTTTACGAACGATAGTTACACAACGATATTAATTAATATAAGCAATATCACACTAACGAAATCCGTAGCTGTCACCTAAGAGGTCCAGGATTACCAAAAACTCGCCACGCCGCGCCATATCGTTAAACTCTTCTCTGTTTACAGGAATATGAGCTTTACGTTCGTCATCGTTTTCGCATATCTCTTTCGTGGTATGCCAACGGCAGTATTTTATCTACAAGATTGCATTCTACTGTTTTCTCGAGACTGATTTCTAAGAAGGGACATTGCAGGATTTGCAAAGATTACTTTGTCGGGAATTGTTTGAGCCACATGCAAGGCCAATGCCATTTTCTTCAGCGCCGATGGTCCTGTGAGTATCATCAGAGGAGGGCTGATTTCGTCGTACGGTTGAACGTGAGCGTCCACTTTGCTGATGTTTAACTGCTCCAGTAGCGTTAATTTTGCTACTTTACGGGCAGCTATTAAATCCAATGGCGAGGCAAACAGCATCGTTGATGTCACCTGGAAAATATTCTCATTTACAATAGTTGTACATTTCATAACATTAAATTGTATATATTATGCATACAATTCGTCGTATGTCAAATAAAGTTAAAAACTAAGTTGTTGGCAGAACAGGAGCAGTATAATTTTCTTTTTTCGTTTAGAGGGAAATTTCTCAATTCTCCTTTTAAGGAAATCCGGTTTTCTAACTTTATTTAATACAAAGCTGGAAAGAGACAAATCTTTTGCACCAATCTTACGTAATTAAATGTAATTAAAATTGTCCAATATACCTTTTCTTCCGGAAACACCTCGACGCCGTCAATAAATTTAACGCTTGGTATGGAAGATATCAATACATTTCGATAATTGGGCCACTTCGTGCAGGTGTTACCCCTAAAATCGACCTCGAATATCGAGCCCTTCAAGTTGAATACCTCCAACAGATCGGTGATTCTATTGAACTTTAGATCTACGAAGCGTAAACTGTATGCGTCCTAAAAAAATCATGTAATTAAAATGAGAATTATGAATACTTTCGTATGCGACGATCCGCTTGCGACGATCACCTTGAAGAAGCCCAAAGTCGACAATCTATTGTGTCCCAGGAGAATTGTTCGCAAATTCAGCAACGTATTTATGCCATGGCCGGGCGTAGAGGATCTGAAAGACGTTATGCAGTTGCCTTCTAAATTTAATTCTCGTATATTCAGACCGTCCAAGTTTTCGATACATTCGATGAGATTGTAGGACAAGTTTAAGTACCGTAGATGTCTGAAAGAAACTGTACAGATTACAAATACAGGCGTCGTGCATCAGAGCACAATATTATGCATTTACTTCAAATTTTCCAGGCCAGAGATGATCTCCAGATTGTTGTGAGACAAATTTAATCTGACGATGCTCCAACAGTTTCTCAAGTCGCCGATGTCCGTCATATGATTGTAAGATAAATTTACGTAAGTGAGGTACCAAGGAGGCACAAAGTTCGATACACGGTCAATTTGATTGTGCGACGCGTTTAAATACATTAAACATCGGAGGCCGCTCAGAGGCGACAAACATGATATGTTATTACTGGCGACGTTAATATATTGTAAGTGCCGATGATGTCGCAGCATGACAATGTCCGTGAGACCCTGAAAAGCAAAGAGCAGCAGTAAATAAACGTGATGTTCGAATCTCAGCAAATTCAATCTGTCGCAATTAATATTCTGCTCGAATTTACTGGCAAACAACTAACATGCTGTGAACATTTTTGCTCGCTAGGGGCAAAAGTAAACAGAAATACAAATTAATCTAAAGTGTGAAATTTCCGACAGTACCCTATTTTTCAGGATACATTTGCTGAGAATATAGAGACCGTTTTCGGGCGATCTCGCCAGGAAAGATGATCCGATGCCTATCAATCTGTCAGACAGAAAGCCAGAGCTCTCCTTATCGTCCAACGACACCTCATCCGGCCTTATCTGAACCACGGGCGATTTGCTGTCCTCCCATAAATCCAGATCCAAGGCGTATCCTCCCCAGTCGCTATCGATAATTTGTTGCTTTTGCTCCTGAAGAGGAGAGGGCTTCCATCCGGAGCAAATCTGAGATGAAACAACAATTTAAGACAATTTAATCAAGAAAGAGAGATAGATAGGTCTTTTTAGTCATCAAGCAATCTGAAGATCTCTCGAGTTAAAGTTTGATTGAGAAAAGAAGAAGCGTACCCCTGCAGCAGAAATAGCTGGCGTTAATTGAGACCTTGCCACAGAATTGTCCTTCGATCTTTCATATGGAACACGTTTGGCATCCGGAGTGTTTTCAAGCATCTCTTTACCAGCTATTGTTCCTGCCATTTCTTTAAAACTCACTGTATACTTTTTGATCACATAATATATCGATATCTGAATAGAGAACCGAAGATAGTTAACATTGTCAACGAAGTCTTGGATTATTTAGAACAGATTGAGTAATAATTCTTAATACATAAAGGGCGATCGAATCTCAAATCTAGTCTAGATTCTGATTAGAGGACCTCTAAAAAAAGGATTAACTTTAATCTATATTGATAGAAACAGACATTAGAAAATGATCGAGTGAAGAATGAAGGATGAAAAAAGAATGTAGATTAATTTTAATCTCGATTTAAGAATATTAGACTATTTTATCTTTTTTAATTAGTTCTAAGAATTAGGAAAAGATAAAATATAAGTTAAACTAAAATTAAAGTATTGACATTGGTATAGAAATGGATGTTAGAACCAAAGATAAAAAATAGGTTTTTTAACCTAGCGTTGAGAAATGAAAAGTGCCGCGTTTTTTTTTATGATGTCACAGGTCGCAGCATGTCGCTCTCGGAGTGCTCCCGATTGGCTGTGCGTCGCGCATGCTCGATTACATCGCGGTGTCGGAGCGACGTCCGATTCGTCGTACGACGAACGCGTCAAACGTGTCGATTGGCTGTCGCGAGAGTTCCCTATCGAACGACCAATCGGCGTGCTCATCGGCTCCGCTCGTCTCCCTCTCGACATCACGTGATCACGGTCGCTCCGCGGCTCCGCTTCGGTTCCGGTTCACCGCGCCAGTTGGCCAGTTCACCAAGTTCTTCAGTTCTTGGCCACCTCTCTCGTTCGTCGTGTCGCGTTTCTTCTCTCCGCGTTCGTATCGCGTTGTCGATCGCTCCGCGAACGGTGTTCGAGTTCGCGCGCAACAAGCAGGAAGAACCCGGTTGGACGAATATATCGCGCGTCGCGTCGTGAATTACGCGCGAGATCTTGGCACAAGAGAAATCTCGAAGGAACGACGTAAGAGAAAGCGAGAAAGAGAGAAAGATAGATAGAGAAGGAAAGAGAGCGAGAGCACTGATCCAAAAAGCAAAAATGTCAGAGATTGACGCGAAAGTGAACATGTCGCTCGGTAAGTCGCCAGAGTCCCGACGGTCTAACGGTTTCGCCAGGAGCCCCGGGTGAGCCCGCGGTTCGCACGTCGACCACGTCGTGTCCACCCTGCCCCGCGTTGGGCGAGACGGGATCGACAAGATGGCGTCGGTGTGGGCTATATGCGTGATGCCCGGCGTGCTTGCGTATACGTGCGTAGAGTACCTGCATTTATTTTTCACTTTTACGTAACGAGGACGTCGTTTTCACGTCGTGGTCGTCATGTCCCCCCTTCTCCTGGTCTCTTCACGATGAAGGGCAACATCGGGAAACGGGATAACCTTCCCTGCGTGCCGATCGATCGATAAGGCTCGTTCGTTAAGGCGGGATCGCGAGGGAGGGAACGTTCTTGAACGTTCTTCAAGAGAGAGCGAGAAATAGGCGAGGAAGGGGAGTCCACGAGGTTTCGTTCTTACACATTTGTTTCTCGTGTCGCTTGGTCGGTCATTCGATGATCGCAAATTGCTGTTTCAGCCAGCAGGTGGAAGGAAGGGAGAAACGAATAGAACCACGTGGAAGCGGTGCGGGAATCTTTTCAGCCTGAAAGATTCTACGATCACGGTTACTCGTGATTTATTTGGCCATCGGAAAGAGGAGTGTCTAGGAGCAGATTGATTGGGAATCAAAGTAGCGAGGATGGTTTGTGCCAGCAGATTCTTATGCAAGGGAACGTTGAGGCGACGTTTGCCTCAAATCGTACTCCGCGATTGCAGTTGTTTGCCTCGGGAAGAAATCGGTGTCCAGAAGACATATCAACATCTGAGAAACGTGATTGGAATACCAGAATTTGTGTCGGAATGTTATATGGAACGTCGTTTTGTATTTGCCTCAAATAATGTTTCTGCGATCGTAATTGCTTGCCCTGGGAAGAAACTGGAAACATAGGTACATCGACATCCGAGGAAACGCGAGCGAAACATCGGGAAACGATCCGAGAGTTCATGCCAAGATATGCGGGACATTGTTTTATATTTGCCTCGAATAAATGTATTTCGCGATCGGAGACCATTGCTTGCCTCGGGAAGAAAATGTCCAAGAAGCATAAGTTGAATATCCAGGAAACGCTCCAAGAATTCATGCCAGGATATTGTACAATTCGCCGTTTTATTCGTCTCATAAGTAATTATATTTCGCGATGGTAATTGCTTGCCTCGGGTGTTTAGGGAACACGAGCACACGTCGACATGCAGGAGACGCGATTATAATAACGGGGAAGCTGTTCCAGAATTTTATGTGAGGAATCGTGTCACGTCCGCCTTAAATGATTGTATCTTACAGTCGCAATTGTTTACAATCTTTTGCCTTGTTTCAAGAAGAGGGGAACGTCTGTGATGTACTTTGCAACAGGAAACTCGGTCGAAATACCGAGAAGGCAAATCAAGAACACTCGCCAGAAATCTCTCGCGCCTGGGATCGTTCTGTGTACGGATCAACTCGTGATAAAACGTTACATCGGCTGCATCTACACTGTCACTTCCCCTAACAATATTTCTTGGTCGCATAAATGAACATGAAGTTGCTCGTTGTAATTGTTAATGCGTATCACGCACGTACGACTGATTTCCCTTTGATTGAAAATAACGTCTGCATCGTCACGTTGGAATGCGATTTTCGAACGTCTTGAAAATCGCGATCTTCTCGGCTTGCAACGCTTGGATCTTCGCGATAACGCGAAATGGCCCACGGCGATTCAGTTACGGAAGAGAAATCGGAGCGAAATTTGCAGCGACGAGATCGTGAATCACGCTGCTGCCGATACAGATTACGCAATACGTGTTACGGAGATTCACGATCCATCGTTATATGTATCGCTAATTTTCCCGATAGATTCCCATTAGAAATCATCATCCCGATAGAGAAAAGAGATCGTTGGAGCATCAATAACGTCTCGAACAGCTTCGTTTCGGTGCAGTCTCGTTTCGGTGCATTTTGCGAACGGAGAAGATGGGCGAACGGCTGAGAATTTCGGAAGACTGTGCCAAGCGTCGTGTGACTCATCCCTCACGAAAAATCACGCTCTCTCTTCACGCGTGGGACAAGCGCAGGGCTTGCGTAATCCTATATTTTTATCCGTTGCATCGCGAACAACTTTTACTCGCCGAGCGGATGCCAAGTATGGGAAACGGGACTCGCTCGTGATGTGCATGCTGGGCGCAACGTTATCTCTACCGCAAAAAACTCGTGTGACAGCATTCAGCGAAACGATAAATAACTTAATTTCGTCTTTGTTTCGCTCCTATCGTCCCTATCGCTACGGTGAACGTGAGAGAAATGCAGAAATGCTGCCTTCGATTTGCAGAACCAGACGCAAATTAAACCGCACCTCCTCGATCTGTGGGACGCTACTCCAAATCGAATTACAATCTATTGACAATGCATTTTTATAATATTCGCTGGCAATCCGAAAATGCAGGTACTCTAGTAGGCAAGCTTTAATAATGTTCCGATGAGATTTCATCGCGATCAGTCGTTTTTTGATGTTGGCAAGCAATCCCAGGGCAGGGATATATTTGCGTTACTTATTTGTATCGATCAACATGGCAATTGTTTATACGGGCTCCTTGAAAGTTTTCGAAATGTAAGAGGTAACGATCGAATGGAAGGCCTTGTCACGAGAACTACGAGAAGAATCACTGACTGGCTCATGAGAAATCAGCTCGTAAGAAAGTCACGTAAATGTAACGAAAGGAAGAGGACAGAGTAAAGAGACAATTCACAAGATGTGTAATGTAAAAATTTCTGGGAAGCAGCGTCGCATTAATGGAGGAAACATGAACTCAGCCGGCGTCTTGTCTTTAATTGCACACCATTTTGAAGTGATCCATAAAGCAGCGAATGACAATAAACAAAGACAGAAATTAACGGGCATTAAAAATAAAAAAATGCAATACAAAATATATATTGCATGTATTAAATTTTTTAAATATACTTCGAAAGCAGATTACTATTATTTAATTTTGTTTTTCAGTTTATAAGCTTGTGTAGCTACATTTTGTTTCTTACTAAATTATTGAGTTTTTATGTTTAGAAAAATCGGCACATTTTATAAATTTTTTCTCATGATATCTATGAATTAGCATTCTTGATACTTAACTCATGATAAATAACTTAACTTATGATTTTATATAAAATTAAAAGGGTAATAATTTCAGAAATAATTATCTGTTAATTTAATGATCAGATCTTTTTAACATTTAATTCTGGCATAACGATTCGAAAAAAATATGCCATGGATATATAAGGATATATCCGCATGGATTGCATTCCACGTGGTGTTTTACAAGAATATCTTTGCATGCAAAGATCTTCGAGATTACGAATACAATATTTCTTCTCAGCAATTTCCTCGGCGGGATACATGCCGAAATGATCTCTATCCTAAACGATAAATATTTACTTGAGAAATATTACTCCATGCTGAAATCATGTCCGTGCCGAGATCTAGCCTTGAGTGTCTCGATTTAAAAGTTTCACAAAGATTAGATCCCACCACATCGTACGTCTGCCGTGCCGTACGCTCATTAAATGACGTCCGTTTTCTTCCTTTTAAGATGAGATCATAAAGATGGAGAAAAAGAAAAAGATTGCGGCGATCAACGGAAAGATCGGCGGCGCCAAGCGCAATCGCGGTGCTGTTCGTGGTCGAGGTGGATTTAGAGGACGAGGTGCGAGAATCAAGCGCAATGTCGGACCCATTCTGAAGAATCAACAGCAACAGAATTGGCAGCGCAATGCGAATACCGCGAGTAACGCGCGCGGTGGTTTCGCTCGGAATCGCTTTAAGAGGAATGGCCATCTCGCGAGGTCGCGCAGCAACTTGAGCCTGAATCAGAAGGCGAACAATGTGAGAGGAGGCGCGTTCAATGTGCGCCGTGGCAACAGAGGCAACAGATTCGGTCTTACTCGTAGCCGGAGCCGCACGAACCTGACGTTCAATCAGGGCGGCTTCTTCACTAACAACAAGAGCCCGCTGAAGCGAACGAGCAGTTTGCCCAATTTGCGAGATCCGAATTCTGTCCACAATCGTCTGGGGTATCAGAGCCCCGCTCAGATTGCCTATCGAAATCGCGTGAAACGAGCGAAGCAGCTGCTGTTACAGAGACAGAATCAGCGATTAAACTTACAGAATCAATTTAGAGTGAGTTGAATATTTTAATATGTACATGACGAATGTTCTTCAGGGTGAAAGTAACTTGCAAAGTACTGATGCGTGTATAATTGTTGCAGATGGCACAGACCGGCCAGAAGATCGGTTTACATCCAATGCAGCCGAGAACTTTGGGAAGACAACAGATACTAACGTCGCAACGTCGCTTTACTACCGGCGGACTACGATCGGATCAGATAGCTCGTGCACAGAGACGGGCGCAATACGAACAGAAATTGATGCGAATGAAGTAGATGATACTTTCTTATATTTGTCGCGTCAAATTAATTCGTTAAACTGGCTACTTATGATAAGATTCTAAATTGTAGAAAAATATAAATCTTTCGTAGCTTTGTATACAAATTTAGTATCTCAAATTTAGTATTTTCGTATTTTTATATTTTTGATGGCTTTAAATTTATTGATGGCTTTATTGATGCAAAAAAAACAGGAACAAATTTTTTCTTCGTGAGGGATGGGATGTTTAAAATGTAATATGTTGCAGCTCCGCCCGGATGACCCCTACTCCGAACGTCAATTTCATGTGCACATTGGGAAGCGAATACATGCCTACCACTACCCGTCAGCGACCACTCACCCTCGCTCAGAGTCGACAACCCGCGACCATTAGTCCGCGACAATTGCCCAGAGGACGATCGCCGTACAGGCAAAGCGCACAGGGTTTAAATATGGTATGTACATTTTTCGCTCGAAACCTTTCCCCAAAGTATATCTTCGTTTCTCCCTTCTGGCTTTTATTTTTAAATATTCGAGAATATTCGAGAAATAGATCTTTCCCTCGAATGTGTGATGATTGACGTTTTTATTGAAATTCCAGGCTGGGCGAGCACCATTATTTGGCCGGCAGCGCTCGAGATCAAGATCGCGATCACGCTCGCGTACGCATAACACAACTACATCCGATTCCAGCGGAGACGTCGACGATCGTAATTTCAGCGAAGTTATGTATAGCCTGTCAGGGAATCTCGGCGTTACGGGGCGAACTCTTAACGAACGATTTAGCTTTTAAGTAGCAGCGTCGCAAATTCGACTTAAATATCGAACACATTACTGATCTATTCATAATTTACCCGTAACGCTAGAAATAAAAAGTAATTTTTGTTTTAACAATGTAGACAATCCTTATTGTTTTCCCTTTTATTAAGTACACCAGTGTTATTAACATCAAATTACTCTACAATGCGTTAATTAACACAATGTCTCCACAAGTATACAAATACTTTTTCGTTTGCCCTAATTGCAAAATTGCAATTGAGTTTACCTAAAATATTGCTTCTTCACATTTGCAGCGTTAATATATGTACAAATTACTTTTAGAGAATATCACGATAGACAGTAATCACACTTTCATCCGGAATATATGATAGTATGCGTGGATAAAATAAAGAGTGATTCTTATGCCTGTTACACGATTAAAGGCAGAAATCTCATTTTTTCATCTACGTGCAATAACTTTGTATAAAATCTTCAGTATTTTTTCGTTAATACATGTAGGCGAAGAAAGTTATTTAAATACATCTAGCAATTTCGAGGATGATTTGTTGAAATTTTGATATTTAGTATGATTTAGTATGAAAGAAGATTTGCATAATTACATATTTATGTATAAGATAAAGCGCGTACTTTTCAATTGTACTTTTTTTTTGCTTTGAGAAATATACAAATCTTGGCGATTAGTTATCCATCTTCTTAAATTGATATTGACTTTAAGTTATCTTCAAAATATAAGCGCGAGATATTTGGATATAAAGAAAAGTAATTTGTGATTTACATATTATATTATATGTATATATATAATCGCATTTTTTTTCATTTTTAGTAAAATTCGTGATTTAGATTTACAATTTGCGAGATTGTACAACAATATGATAAAATACATGAATCGGAGGTAGGAGTAAATGAATTTTTGCGTTGTATTTTGATTCAATTGTATAAGAGTACGTCTATTTAACAAATAGATGTATGTTTGCGTCGAGGTAGATTTTATTGAATTACTGTTAAATTGTGAGTTTAAATTGTAGCGTAATATCATGTTTCATATAAACTATTTCAATTAACAAGCATCACGAGCTGTTTTTTCAAACGCATGTTTTACCCAACTTTTGAAATAAATTTTATATTACGTTTGTATTATGCATATTTCTGACTGATGCATTAGTTTTACATCGCCAACTTATTTTCATTGTGTTATTCATCCCGACGAAAGTGCGCATATTTTTAATCATATCATAGGTTCATAATCGTAAGCTTTATAAAAGCAATTTCTTCAAGAAGTGATAACACGCACTGAATATGACGCAGTTATAGAAATCTATTCGAAAAACGTGGATGATATTTTTAACGCAAGCATATATCATAGTATCGAATGAAGTGTCGTCCGATAATGAATCGTGGTGGCACTTATCACCATTTACAATAAAAAAGAAGGAAGCATAAATATGCGCTTACCGCCTACTCGGCTCAGTGTCAGTCGCGATGATGGATGTGCACGGAGTGTCCGCGTGAGTGTCTCGTAAGTGAATTGAGATTCATATAAAGAAACTGTCAATCAAAATTGTAAATGAAAAATGTCCAAATTATTTATATTTATTTATAACTACAGGAAGCGTGGATATTGCGGTGACAATGCGCATGCATGTATAGCAGTATACATTATACATAGTATATATTCAAACTGAGTTATTGTCATCATGTCGTTTATGATATCATCCTTGGTGGGGACATGTGCGCGAAGAATAAACAGACAGGTAATAATAATATTGTATCTTAAGACAAGTTGCTTTAGTGTTGAATGTAGGATTAAATTGCTTGCACGTAAAATCGCGCATCTGCATACGGATATTCTTTACGTAAGACTTTGTTTACCGCAGCTGCTGACGCACAAGGCTTCGGTTGTCAAACAACTGGTGAGAAACTTAGAGGTACACGAGCACATCGCGTACGGCTTGTTGAAAAAAGCCGGCATTCCTACTCCGTCTTTCTGGGTGGCGAAGACGCCTGATGAAGCGGCCACTCTGGCCAAGAGTCTGAAGACAAAGGATCTCGTGCTGAAGGCGCAAGTTCTGGCTGGGGGTAGAGCGAAGGGACAGTTTAAGGGTAGCAATGTTAGCGGCGTCGAAATGTGCGACACGTGGGTACATGACGGAATACATAATTCATAGTAGATAGAGAGAGAGAAGCAAAAGATGACGATCTCTTCTGTTGCAGTGTTGAACAGGTGAAGGAATTGGCGGATAGCATGATCGGCAAGGTCCTTGTGACCAAACAGACGAGTGCGGCTGGAAAGATATGCAATTCGGTGATGGTAACGGCGCGTATGTTTCCACGTAAGGAGTATTACATGGCGGTGATGTTGGAACGTACCTTCGACGTGAGTATGACTTTATAAATTGCCCCTGTGACTTCCGTCAGGAGCAGATTGATCTAAATTCGCTGTCGTTTTATGTTTCATAAGGGGCCCGTGATGATCGTTTCCAAGCAAGGCGGGGTGAACATCGAGGACGTCGCCGCGGCGAATCCGGAAGCCGTAGCATACATGCCGATCGACGTGAGGAAAGGTTTAACGTCCGCGCAGGCGAACAGCATCGCCGATAAACTGGGACTCACGGGAAACGGCAAGGAGATCGCGTCGCTCGTCGCCTCCAGTCTCTACGAATTGTTCGTCGAGAAGGACGCGCTGCTGCTCGAGATCAATCCATTTGCGGAAGACATCTGTGGCGAATGTACGCTGACAACGAATGAGATAAGATACGAGAAACAAGAGCGCATGGTAATGCGTTTCGATAATAGAACTGAATAGCGCGTTATATTTGCGTCTTGTTGCCGCAGATTACGCTCTGGATTGCAAATGTAAGTTCGACGACAGTGCCGATTTCCGGCAGAAGGAGTTGTTCGCGCTGAAGGACACGACCCAGATGGACCCGAAGGAGGTCGAGGCGGAGAAGTACAACTTGAATTACATAGCTCTCGACGGGAACATCGGTTGTATGGTGAACGGGGCCGGGCTAGCGATGGCCACCATGGACATTATCAAGCTGTACGGTGGGGCGCCGGCAAATTTCTTGGACGTCGGCGGCACCGCTACAACCGAGACGGTCACGGAAGGCTTCAAGATACTATCCTCGGATCCGAATGTAATTATTAATATAAAAATCGGCTGAATTAAAACGACGAAGGATTGATATGTCAATGGTATTCCAGGTGGAAGCTATTTTGGTGAATATTTTCGGTGGCATAATGAGATGCGATATAATCGCCCAAGGAATCATAGACGCTACTAAACAACTAGATCTGAAGGTGCCCATAATCGCACGGTTACAGGTAATTACTCTTTTAAGTTACATATTAGCCTCGTATCATTTTGTTTTCCTTTTCTTCTTTTTAGTAAGCAGCGTGTTTCTTTGCAGGGTACGAATGTAGCGAAAGCTAAACAATTGATACTAGACGCCAAGTTGAAGGTAATTTCCGTGGACGATTTCGCTCGAGCGGCTGAGACGTCTGTCAAGTTAGCATCGATGATGAATATCGCCAAGACTTCGGATTTAGATATCACTTTTAGTTCTAAATCGTCGAAGAGGAAGGATTATGAGAAAGTAAAAAACTGAAGGAAGACAGCCTCTGTAGAAGAGTTTAATAATGTATTTTGTACTTGTATGTACGGTCCACGAAATATATCTTTTTATACATGTTACAACACGCAAAAGATGCGTATGTTATTGATTTTTCTATTACACACGACGACAAGATGATGAAGATTCATAACTTTTAAGAATATTACGATAATTTAACCCTTAAATGCCACACCTCTCAAGAATCTCGTAAATGACACATGGGGTCTAAAAGACCCCAGCATGAAAAATGTCTCCTTACTCATTGATTTTTTGATATTTAGTTATGAAAATTATTTTCAATGTTGTTCAAGGCTTAGAAAAGAGAATAAAATGCTTATATTGTTAAAATTTTAATTTCAACATAGTATAAAAAATTAAGTAAACTGAGTACTGCTAAGTGTACAAACGGGTAGGTCAATCACTCAACTATCATCAATGGGAGCATGAGCTCCATTTTTGGGGGGAACATTTGAAAATATATCGATGTAAAGAGTCTGGGGTCCGCTGGACCCCGGGTGGCATTTAAGGGTTAATAAAATAGGAGAATCAGTAATTATTCCTGGTTTCCTTCCTCGCGAGATGTAAGTAATTTGTTCAGTCAGCAGGATCGCAAAGTTTTGAACTATATAATTGTCTCTAATCTAATCTTTGTTTCCACATGTCAACGAACGATTAAGATTCTATTCACGTTAACAAAATATGTATTAACTCTAGAATCCATGTATCATTTTTTTGACCTTCTAATCCATGACTGGGGGCAATATCGACCCCACGCTTTATTTGATAGTAAAACCGGTCCTACAGAAATAAAGGGCCTTTAAACCTACATGAATTTCTTCGTTTTTTAATAACGAAGAGAATGGTATACGGTAAATTTAATTTTACTCAAGTTTAGTTAGTGAAAAAAGCCATTTAAAGACCGAAAAATGCAGAAAATCAGCAAAAACCTCTTTTTTTAAAGTTTGCCTGGGGTCGAAATCGACCCCTCTCATGGATTCTAGGGTTAATGAGTTAAATCACTGATTAAGTGAATCAGCGATTAGTTCAACCGGCAAAATCGCTTGAAGCAGTTTCTAACTATACAATTAATTGTTTCTAATTTAATCTTTCTTTCCGTATGTCAACAAAAGATTAAGAATTCTATCCAGATTAACAAAATAATAAGATATTATTTCAAGTTCGTCCTTTGCAGCTGCGCTGTCATACTTTACTGAAAATAAAACTGGTACATAATTACTTAAACATTAGCCAGAAGAGAGAAAACGAAAACTACAAAAAGTTTAGCTGGGAGGAGTAAATCAGTTCCCGATTAAGTTAATCGGAGTTCAATCATCAGTCTTTCTTCCCGATGACTCGACCGACGGGCGACGCACCGTCAGTCACAGTCACGCACTTGACATTCGACTCCGCGAGGCTGCGGGAGTTTCGCGTGTGCGGCATGCGGCTCCTCTCTGCTCTGCGTCATACTTTTGCGCGTGGGAAACGTCAAGCGCGATCGGGTGGGGGCCACGAGGGACCGAAGCTCGCGCCTGGCAGTCCACGGCCGTCGCTCGGGCAAAAATGGCTACCATGTTGTCGCGGGCGGTCTCACTCGCGGAGAATCTCGGCCGACTGAGCGGCTCCAAGGTACGTCAAGCCGACGAGTTTTTCCGCGTGCACGTTAATCGCGCTGATTCGACACGTTCAAACAAACACGCACGATATGTATCCCGAGATTGCTATACGGATCGGCAGAGACTGCTGAGAGGAGTAGAGAGAAAGAAAGAGAGAGAGAGGGAGAGAGACGGAGCGAAGGTCGCCGATCGCCATGTTGGACAGCTGTAGTCTGCTAAATCGAGCGCCAGGGTCGCGAGCGGTTCGAAAGCGGAGGATCTCCGTCTCGGGGATTTTCCCTCCGGAGAATCGACGTGACAGTTACGCAACCGACCGGGGTACCGCCTCTCGGGCCTCGCGTCGGCGTCGTCATCTCGACGTTCCCGCGTCCGCCCCCGCGTTTCAATAGAATTACCGGCATTACCGCGCCCGCTCGCGCGAAGGGGGACACTTCGACACTTGTCATTGTCAATAAGCGGTCGGTACCGGTCGACGATGACGATCGCGCGATGCGCTCCCTCCGACAATTTTGTTCCCGTCGAACGAGGCGAATGAGATCGATCGCTTTCTCTCCTCTTCTCGCCGGAATGCAAACTTTTATTTTCAGCACAACCTTGAAGGCGCCCCGA